GGTTGGCCGCGCTGACAAGGCACAGCGTCGCAAGGAGCACAAAGCCCGCAGTGTGCATCACCGTCAGAAAGGCCGAGCGCATCATGTTCGTGAAGGCAACCACGCCCGCGCCCGCAAGCAGCACAGCAGCCATGCAGAAGTACTGGACGTGGCAGCCTCCCACGGGCGGGTGCACAGCAGCAATCAGGCACACCACACACAGCGCCGACAGCTGGAACACGCACCAGTACACGTGGCTGCCCCTCATGTTCGTCAGCATGCCGCCGTACATCCGCTGCTGCGCCGCGGGGTGCCAATACCCGACGGGGTACAGCAGGCGCTCGTGCAGCGGCTTCCTCGAAAACTGCCAGTACCTCGTGAAGCTCGCGCCCACGTGGCGGGCAATCAAGTAGCACACGCCAGCAGGGAACGCCGCACCGTACAGCACGCCAACAACTCCAATCACGCGGTGCTGCGCGCGGGCGCCAGGCATCGCCAGTGCAAGCACGGAGCCGAAGAAGATGCCGAGGTGCATCGCGTGCGCCACAACGTACGTCAGGCTCGGGAAGCGCATCGCCGCCCACGCACTCGCCGCGTCCACGCCGCGCCACCGCCGGAAGGCCGCCGTCACACCGCAGTGCACGCACCCAAACACAGCGGCGAGCAGCGCGTTGCCCACCACCATCCACAGCGGGTCACGGGCAGCGAACACCGACAGGAAGTACGGCAGCGCAGCGGTGCTCGCACGCTCCTGCGCCGAGGCGCACGACATCCTCGCGAACACGCCGAGCGCCTGCATCTCCAGGACGGAGCCCAGCCCGCCGGTCACCACCACCGCAACAGCCGCCGCACCCGCAACAACGCCGGTGATCGCCGAGAGAGCGCTGGCTGCGGCGGGCAGCGTGTCAAACCTGATCGTGAAGAAACCAAGCAGCACACCCTTGCAGCCGCCAGACACTGCCGCAGCGTCGCAGCGAATGACTATCGTCTCGTCGGCAGCAATGAAGTAACCGCGGTGCACGGGCACAGCCAGCTCCAGAACGGTAGACGGATTCGTCGCGTTGCGCACCCACGTCGCGTTGCGCAGCATCGCTCCCCACGGACCGCCAAACCCACTCGGCTGCGCCGTCGACACAGGCACGAAGCTCAGGTGCGTGCCAATCTGCGGGTCACTTGCCCAACGAAACGGCGGCGGCAGCGCCACCATCAGCAGTGTCGGGACGGCGCTCCCACCGCCGCGGATGTCGTTCTGCGTCAGACTCCCACCAGCCGCCGTCGTCGTCACAGCGAGCGTCGGGCACGCCACGTCGCTCCACCACGGCGTGCTGCTCACCGACGCTGTCGGGGTCCGCGTGGGCGGCAGCGCCACCGTCCCTGTCACCTGCGGGGTCTCCGTCAAACTGTACTGCGTCGAACTGTAGTGCGGCGTGCTCAGGCTCGGTGTCGGTGTCGGTGTCCACGTCGGCGTCGGGCTGCGCGTCTCCGTCAGCGTCGCCGTGTGGCTCAGCAGCGGCATAGCGAGCGTGCGGTTGCACCCGTCCACGCGCGGCAGGTACACTGGCAGGCAGTCGCGCCCGTACCCGCCCTCAGCACAGCGGCAGCCGCACGACCCCGACATCGCCCTCGTCGCAGCAGCAAAGCATAACACGTCGGCGTCGCAAACGCCACACGCCACGGGGCGGAATTCCCCGATGATGCCGGCGGACCTGTAGTGCATCGGCTGCAGCGCCTGCCCGTTCAGCATCAGGCACCCCACAACGAACTTTCGGCCGGTGCCCCCGAGCGCAACGGTGCCGTCCATCACGACGGGCCCGCTGCCGGCGTTCCCGTGAAGCGTCAGTGTGCTCTGCACGAGCTCCGCACGGCGCGGGTACGACGGCAGCGACAGGAGCCTGCCGCTGATGCTGTTGCCGCGCACCGACAGCCACGACCCGGAAACAAACGACGCCGACCCCCGCAGCACCAGCAGCGCGCCATCCGTCAGCACACCGGCGTTGTCGTTCACTACGACGGCGGACGCGTTGGCCCCCACACCGCTGTCAAACACCAGCCCATGCGCGGCGTACACCTGGCTCCCCGACACGCGCAGCACAGCGCCCCCAGACGCAACCACGCGCGCACTCGCGTACAACGCAACGTCGCCACCGAGCACAGCCGCGTCCAGCGCAACGCCGCCACCGACAAGCTCCAGCAAAGCGCCGTCCACCACCACCGTCCGCCCACCAGTCA